ACTGGTTGCTGCTGATTATTTAATGGTTGGTGAGGACTAGCTCTACTGAAACTGTCTTATATTTTGGTTCTCTATTTACGGGGATGTGTACCTATTTTTAATATACATTCAGAACGGTAGTCTATAGTTTATTGCATGTCCTGATTTGGCTACAGTGTAGGATTTGTATTTCAGGATGAGAATCACTTACACTTGCACAAGAGCGTCAACCATTTTGGATCAACTAACAGTGAAAAAGTATAATCCTGTTTGGCCCAATTGGAGAGATGTATTATGGTTTTACAATTGGGACGTTGAGATGTGATTAAAAAAACAGAATCCAGGTTTCTGATTTCTAGTGAAGATAGCTATTAATAATATAATGTTTAGCAGTACAAGTGATTTTATTTAGTGTATAGTTAACTAGTGCAGTACAATTAAGTTTGGTCTTAAGGAATCCTAGATTGGACTATATCACTATAACCAATTCCACATTGTCAAAATAAATCCACATATTCAGCAAAAGGTACAACAAATGGATTACAGCCATCCAAAGTTACCTTGAGGTAAAATGGGCAGCCTATAAATTTTTCAAATAAATAAATAATAAACATCTGCAGGGCTGTATATCGGAGCTGTCTTCCTGCGCTGGCACTAAACAATAGAAGTTGACTTGAGTTTTAACCTAGGTGCACACCTGGAGCAAGTGTTTTTGGTATCTGTCCAGCTAGCAGTACTTCCCACTGCCAAGGAATGGAATGGTTGTTGAGCAGCCTTCCCTCACAACTGTCATTGTCTGCTAACTGGCACAACAGAAACTGTTTGAATTGTTTTAGGGTACTGTGTTCATGCTGTTGACAAAACATCCTGTAATAGGTGGTGTTGATGGCAGCAACAGCTTCAAAGTTGCATATTGCACTATCTTGCATGATGTAGCGATTGTACTTCCTAGCCATGTTGTTGTGAGACCCCAAGGCTTCTACTTCCTCTGGGAAAGTATGTGTTCCTGAACTCAAATGTTTTGGATGTCCAGCAAGGTCAAATCATAAAGTAATACTGATGTTCAGCTCTATGGACATATTGGTGGCCAGTAGCTGCTGCCTTCCTGTTTCATCCACCATCAGATTGCCCAGTATCTCTGGAAATTAGGTTGTGAGTGAAACATCCCATAGGTCCACACAACATTTAAGTGGCTCAAAGTGGACTTTGAAATACCCCTGTCCGCCAGCCCCCAAAGGATTTTAACTATGGCACTGATTTGAGAATTTCTATGCTCACATTAAAAGATTTCGAATAATCTCACCACCTCAGCAAATATACCAGGTTTTTAATGAAGTTGCCATTTGATAAAATACTTGTAATCTGCCCCATACCTAATCTGCATGCATATAATCAACATTTTACCTTATCTGCCTCACCCAATCTCATCCCAATCAGAATCCTACCCAGTCCACCTTATGTATCTTATAAAGTGAGCTGCAGCTCATATATCAAATAAATACATACTCTATTTTTGTATGTTTACATTTGCTCATAAATGAGGAGGGCCTGTTTGTTAGATATCAGAATAACAGTAGATGGTGAATTCCACGTTAATGAAACAAAAGAGGAGAATAAAGCTTGCTTATGTTGTGCTTGCATGGTTCCCATTTTGTAAACGACAGGTCAATCCAAAATTTTCCTATACATGTAGTCCTTGACTTACAATTTCATTTCTGGTCTTCCGCATACATTTGATAAACACCAGTTTGCATACAGAAGAAATAGATCTAGAGGACGCTATAGCCATCACTCTTCGCACTGCTCTGACTCATCCAGAACAGCAGGGGTGTGTGTGTGTGTGCTATGTGAGGATGCTTTTTGTGGATTTTAGTTCTGCATTTAACACAATTCTTCTGCGTGGATTAGTGTCTAAACTTCTGGACCTTGGCCTTTCTTATTCAATCTGCCTTTGGATTATGGATTTCCTGTCTGGCCACTCACAGAGGGTTAGATTAGGTCATCATACCTCTTCAGCCCTTATTCTTAACACTGGTACACCACAGGGTTGCTTGTTGAGTTCCATTTAAATAGTGTGTCGTCTGGGTATAAATATCTTCTGCAATAACAATAACAATTTATACATATTCATTACTTAATACTCTATTCTTATTTAATACTAATTACATCATATATCTAATTCTTATATCATTCTGCATCTTAACATTTTTTATTCTTTCCACGTTTACTATTTTTTGCTAGTCTTTAATTTCTATCTTCCATATTAATTCTCCAGCCATTGATAAAATGATTCCCATATCATATAATATACAGTTTGTTCCTTCTCTTTGATTGCTAGTATCAGCCTATTCATTTCTGCACATTCTAATATTTTCCTAACCACGTTCTCTTCAGTCGGAATCTCTTCACTTTTCCAATTTTGTGCAAATACAATTCTAACTGCAGTTAATACATAAACAAAAATTCTCTTTGCTACAATTTTTGGGTATAATTCCCAACAGAAATATTTCAGGTTTTAAGGCAATGTGTTGCTGTATCATTTTTTCCAACCACGTATGTATTTTTGTCCAATATCTTTTAGCTTCTACACATGTCCACCACATATGATAATGTGTTCCAGGTGTCTGGTGACATTTCCAGCATTTAGCTGATTTATCTTTAAACATCCTTGCCAACCTTGCAGGCGCAAAATGCCATTTATAAAACATCTTACACAAATTTTCCTTCTATGCAGTTGACATTGTTAGTGTTTAGTTTCTATCCCACAATTTCTGCCATTTATCTAATTCTATAGTATAACCAAAATTTTTTGCCCATGCTATCATTATTTCCTTCACGGGCTCAACTGTTGTTGAAAGTCTATACACACCTAAAAAGGGAAAAAAGGAACGTATCAGGAAGGGATTCTGTAATCTTACCTTTGCCCTCCTGTATGAGGAGGTTGGAGTGCCAGAGTAAGGGAGGGGCTCTGAAACTAACCGTTGGTTTTTTTGTGGGGGGGGGGTCACCCGTGGCAACTCTCAATGTGCATCAATATGGACCATATATACAGTATATTTTCTTGAAAAAAATATGAAAAGGAACAAATATGAAAAGGGACAAAACTGAAAGAGGTCCTTAAGAATAAAAAAGGTAACTATTTATAACTTTGCTTTACAAAGGAATGTTCAAGAGCAAAGGCAAGAAAAAACTTCAACAAAAATGCATATTTCAGCTTTCTGAAATAAAGGACTTATCGTCACCGTAACCTCATGCTGAAATTCTCTGCCAGAAGGTGTGTCTAATGATCATTGATTTTCTCAATTCTAATTTCAAGGATTCTGCCAGTGATCAGAGGTTTCAAGGGTTGATTTAGCAGTCATTGAAAATAAGTAAGGACTTTACTTTTCTACCAGTAAACCAATCAATTAAAAATAACTCCTGGTTATATATGTTTTCCTATTGAAGGAGCATGGTGATCAAACCAATTATTTGCCTCTTGCTTCCGGTATGATATACTACTGCTAGAAATCATTTATTAGGAATTAAGCTTTGTTGTTGGCTTCTTGCTCATATTATTGTATACTGTCAGAAATTAGTTGTTAGGAATTAATTCTAGGTTATTGTAGTCTTGATACTGATTGGCATTAGTGCAGTTTGTTATCTCCCTTCTGTGTCTCACTTCTGTTCTTGGCTTCAAAGCTAAGCGCATCCTTGAAAATATAGAAGAAACCGTTACCCAGGAATATAGATAAAGGAACATAGATAAAGGAACCGGAGTAGGGAGTTTCCTGCCTCATAGATAGTACCATAGCAGGGAGTTACCTGAAAGCATTCTGCTGAATAAACAACTTGGCCAGGGCTAAAAAGATGCTCCATAGACAAGGAGGGCAGAGACGGGCCTGAACAAAGAAACCTTTGAAGATATAAAGACCCATGTTGGTAACTCAACCTTTGTCTCTGATTAGGTAAACTTTGTCTCTAGCTGATTAAAAATGTGTGTAATGTCTGGGCCACTCTTGCAGAGATGTGCCTATTTCTTACATGTTTTTTGCCAATGTGTTTTGGAAATAAGTTTCACACAGATTCTTTTTGCTTTGGCCAAAATAAAAAGCGGATACTTTTGCAAGCCTCGCCTCACTCTCTTTGGTATCTTGGTGGCTCAGGAAATGCCTGGGACCTTACACTACCCACCCCATTTCAGGTTCCCACTTAATTTTCACATAGCATGGCTTCTTTGTCCTTTACAGCTGTGCCACAGAGTGCCATTTCAGACTGCATAACATTAGCTGAGGATAAACGTTTTGGGGGAAAGGTCTATCACCTAATACTTTTATAGGCCTCTATATTCCCTTTTATTGGGATACAGACTATTTCTATTTTTTCTTGCTTGCAGAAAATATATTTTTTCTAATTAACATACAGTATGGGAAGCATCCTTTCTCCCATCTCCCTCTACATTCAGTAAAAGTTAAGAGTGTTCAAAATGAAAAATTGGCGCTGCCTTAAATCCCACTGTCGGGCCTGTAACCTTTTTTGCCCACATCAAACATGGCAGCCCAAGTATTATTATTATTATTATTAATTATTATTATTATTAATTATTATTATTATTATTTTATTTATTTATTTATTATTATTTATTATTACTATTATTACTATTACTATTATTACAGAGAAGAGCTTGTCCTAACAACGACAAAGAGGATACCTCGCCGGGTTGCCTGCCATCCAAAGCAAACATGGTGGGTTTTCCACCCTTTGGAATGCCAGTACTAAACAGGGAGCCCCAAATTCTTTTCCGTCCCTTGCCATCCAAATCGCAACCCTCTTCCTTGAGTTACAGACACCGCAGCTCTTTATTGCCCCCTTGAATCAAGGCTTTAGCGCCCTGAAAAAACAGCCCGAAACAAAAATGGCGCCGCAGCGGAAGCCTCCGTTCCCCTGCCCACAAGGAACATGCCGCTTCTGCTCCTCCCTCTTCTTCCTGCCCACATAAAAGATGGGGGAGGAGCGGGGGAGGAGCATCCTGCTAACTTCCATCGGGGTTGGATTGGAGGGTGGCGGGAGCGATTGTCGCCAGAGGTCAACGCTTCCTCGCGGCGACCCTCCTGATCAGTTTCTCTAGGGGGGGGGGGGGGGGGTGAGGGCAGACGCTCGCCTTCCTGTCGCCGTCCGTCGAAGGATCTGCCCTTCACTAAAATGTCGGCGCCGATAAGAAGTTGTGAGTACTGTAGACGTTGGGAGGAGGAAGGGAGTGGGGGGGAACTGAGCGGAGAGACACCCCCCCCCGCGCGCCTCTAGTTAGCCCACCGGGTAGGGGCGAGCAACAAGGGGAAGGGGGGCGCCTGAGTTGTCGAGTGGGGGAGGGGAGTTACAGAGTTTGGCAGAGTCCTAACGCCCCGAGTTCGGATCCCGGGTTCCCCCAAAGTGCCCGTGCAAAGAGGCAGAGGCTGCGATCCCTGCAAGCTACTTTCTACCCCCAAAGCGCTGTTGTAGGGAGCAAGCAGCAAGGGGGGGTCGTGGTCTAGAAACTGTGGGTTAGGAAGGACCCGTCGGTTCCTCCCCCACCCCCAATTTTGTCGGGAGTCCAGACAAAAGTTGGACTTCAACCGGCTGGGAAAACCAGAGCTGGCCATGGTTAGCTAGCTGGAGGTTGGGCGAACGGCAGCCCAGGAGATTTGGGTGGGCTTTATGGGGGAGACGGAGGGGCGCAAAAACACTTTGGGTCGTTTTCAGCGTAGACGAAGGACTGCGAGGGTCTTTTCGTTTGAAGTCAAGAAAAGGGGTGAATTTCTTCGGATAAGGGGTGTGGGTAGTCACGATCCCGGAAGTTGGTTTATGTGGGGTTTTTAAGATTTTTATTTTGGCAATATATAACTGAAGGAGGGGAACGTAACTAAACAGTCTTCCTCCTCCTGTTTTCCCCATAACAACAACCTTGTGAGGTGGGTTGAGCTGAGAGAGGGAGGGACTGGCCGGAAGTCACCTAGCCAGTTTTTCATGCTTCTTCTGGTTTCTAGGCCATCGTTGCTTTAAACTGACTTTGGGGTTTTTCCCCCCCCCCCCCCCTGGGTTAATGATAGCAAAAACATTCGCCAGTGTTTCTCAACCTTGGCAGCTGGAAGATGTATGGCCTTCAAATCCCAAACATCCCCAGACAGCCTTGCTGGCTGGGGATTTCTGGGAATTGAAGTTCACATATCTTCAAGCCACCAAGGTTGAGAGCCCCTGGCATAAGCAGTAAAGTGAAGTGCAGATAACATAGGGAGGTGGGGGGTTTCAATTCTCAAAAAATAAAAGCATAAATGGACTGATTTTGTTCTTAAATATTTTTTCTATTATCTCAGCATGGAAAAGAAGCAAATTGCCATCTCAATAGACTGCTCAAGAAAGAGCATTATGTTGAGGAAAAATATCTATTTCATGTGTATGTTTATTTAGGCGTTTAATTTTTTTCTCCCCTTTCAGTTATTTCCCCCACCCCTTCTTCAATGTACATAATAACTCTGGAAGACAGCAAAGATCGTACTTCATAAATTATTCTCTTTCTTCTTGTGCCTCTGTTAGAAGATTGTGGTTGGTGTAAAGGTGAACATCATGAATAGGAAATTGGACTTCAGGCTTCAACTTTTGGGGGAAAAAGGCTGTTAGAATCTCCTGGTACAAGATGAGAAAAATTTGGTTGAGAACCTGGAAACTTTCAGGGCAGGGATTTGCTTCATGCTTAAACCTTGTAAGCACAAAATCAAGTCTGCATGATTTTGAGGGTTCTCAAAAAACCTAGAACCCTTAATTCCATTCAAGAAAATGAGGAATTGAAACCTGATAATTTTTCTCCTACATTGCATCTCTCTGTGGTACTGCTTCTGTAGAAAATTTTAGTTTTCTGCAGTGCCCTTTTATACCAAGATTTTCCTGCATCAACTCATCTATCATAGCCAGGAACAAACAAACTGGAGATTTCCTACATCTATATTTAATATCTGCTAGTTCAGGAAATCTGATGGCATTAACAAGAAGTGAGTTTCAAAAATTGTTGACTTGTTTCCATTGTTCGGAAGTAAAAGCATTAACTTCTCCCTTACCTTAATTAAACCATTGCAGCATGAGAAGGGACTCACTGATTAATCCAACAATTGCATGTGTAGAGCTTCCTACAATATTTTCCTAGGGTTTTAAATGAGCTACCCAATTTTTTTTTATGCAGATACTTTTTAAGAGTCATTTATTGGTCCAGATGATGGGTTTATAGGTAGGTAGTCCTCAACTTAAGACCAATCATTTTAACAATTGTTTGATGTTATGACAACTTTAGAAAGGATGCTTTACAGCCTGTAAAGCACCACTGGCCATCATAAAATCCCCCCACCATGGTCACATGGCAATGGCAATGTTTCCAATGCTTGGCAGCTGGTTCACGTTGGCTGCAATCTCCTGAAGTCATGCAACTGATTCGCAACAGTTTCTGGCAAAAAAAATAATAATATTGCATTTGGGAGACTGGATTTACTTAATAAACACTGCAAAAACAGTAAAAAAAATAAGGTTCGGTTCCATGGATGTGACCAGAACGACTTATAACTGAAATTCTGTTTCCAATTGCGGTCATAAGTCGAGGGCTACCTGTACATTGGGAGAAGGGGACTATCTTTATTGGGGATTTGAACTCAACCACTTGTGAACCCCTTCAGGTCTGACTCTTTTCTTACTGCTCTCTAGAAGAACATTGGGTAGATGGAGAGCCATGTTGAAACATGGCCAGAGGGCCAGCATTCCCAGGAGGCTCCAGGAGGTGTTCAGGCGGCCCCTGGAACTGAGGAAGAATGTGCTGTTCTCTACTCGGATGCTGAGGACGACCCCTCACTCTTGACGGTCAATGGAGCAGGCCCCCGAGCCCCCTTTCATTGCTCTGAATGTGACAAGAGCTTCCGCTACCGTTCGGACCTGCGGCGCCATTTTGCCCGACACACTGAACTGAAGCCTTTCCAGTGCCCTCACTGTGTCAAGAGCTTCAAGCATTCTTTCAACTTGGTGAACCACATCCGGAGCCACACTGGGGAGCGCCCCTATCGCTGCACCATGTGCCCCAAAGGCTTCCGGGACTCCACGGGGCTTCTTCACCATCAGGTGGTCCACACTGGAGAGAAGCCATACTGCTGCCACATCTGCGAGCTCCGTTTCTCCTCCCGCAGCAGTTTGGGCCGCCACCTCAAGCGCCAGCACCGGGCATCTCCTGCCACCGCAGCCCCTCAAGCGCCTACCCCGCGCTGCTTGGCTTGCGGCAAAGAGCAGAGTCCCTTGGGGCACCTTTGTGCTGCTGGCCGAGGCCGGGCCGCCCCTTTTGGTTGTGGGGCCTGCGGGCGGCACTTCCAGCTAGCCTCTGAACTTCGCCGTCATTGGCTGGCTCATACCGACATCAAACCCTTTAAATGTCCAGATTGCGAGAGAGATTTCAATGCTGCATCCCTCTTGGAACGCCATAAACTCACTCATGCCAAGGACAGGCCCCCGCCGTGCCAGCTTTGCTCCAAGAAAGCTCAGAAGAGGGATGGGAGGATGCTAGAACTGAAGGGCATGAAGGAACAGCCAAAAGGCGGTGAGCAGCAGCAGCCGCAGGAGGCCCAGCAGCATAGCAGAGGCTGTCCATCCAGCCACTCTCCCGATACTCGCCCCCCAGACACGTTGTACCAGTGTGAGTGTGGAACGTTTTTTGCCAACAGCAGCACCCTTGCAGCTCATCTGACTGCCCACGGAGGCGAGCCCTCTTTCACCTGTGGCATATGTGGCCAGCCCTTTGTGAACTTGCAGGCTCTGGAGGAGCACCAGCTGAGCCACGCTGTGTCCACAGCACCAGTGCCGGGTCCAGGCAGCGAGCTAGAACGCCACCTGTTGCCCCAGTTAGAACTCCGGACATTTCCAACTCAGCCCGGCAAGAAACTCTACAAGTGCAGCGAATGTGAGAAATTCTTCCGAAGTCCCCGAGATCTGGACCGTCACGTCTTGGTGCACACCGGTGAGAAGCCCTACCAGTGCACTGAATGCGGCAAGTTCTTCCGGCATGAATGTTACCTGAAAAGGCACCGTCTGTTGCACAGTGGCGAGCGTCCTTTCAAGTGCACTGTGTGCCACAAGGGTTTTATCACCCTGAGCAACCTCTCCCGCCATCTCAAGCTTCACCGAGGGATTGACTAGGAGGGCTATCCTGAACTCCTCTAAGCATAACCCTCCTTCCCCGGCGCTACCTCCATCCCACAGTGGCATCCACAGAAGTTCCTGTTTTGGAGGTAGACTTCTGCCTGACGTTCTCGAACTCTGCCTGCCCTGCCCTCCTTCCTGGTTCAGTACTTTAGGGAAAGGACTTGAAAGGATAAAAAATATTATTATTATTATTATTTACCAATGTTCCACTACTGTTAATAGAGTACATTGCACATGCTTGGCAAATTATAAGGTGTGTCGGGTAGAAAGGAATATCTGCCCTGATCTGTTCCAGAAAAGTTTTTTTTTTATTTCAGAACAGGAATATTCAGAGCCATGCAAAGAAATTATGAGAGGAAAAAAACTTTGTTTAAGTGTCTAACGTCTGAAGGTACTTGCGTGTGCGTGAGCTTAACAGTGCTGAAATGACTTTGGCCAATAGTCCTGGAGAAAGAGCTTTGAGGCAGAGCCATACTCTCTCTCCAGGGAATGAGGAAACTTTGCTGGATATTTAAAGAGGCAGAATATTTCTTCACCCTTCAGTATTTCCCAATCACTTTAGTACTGGGATCTTGTACTAAAAGGCAGCACAATTGGCCAGAAAGGATAAATGTGCACAAATCTAACATGCTGTCATTCTTTTTAGTCTGTGTAGTTTTCTTTCCTTTTCCCGTTCTGTTCTTGATGGGACTACAGTTAGATGTACTTCCTGTTCCTCAAAGTAGAGAAATCTTATGTCCCTCATAATAATCATTATCTCCGAAGGTTAAATAGGGGTAACATGTTTATGTCATAATTGTACACATCTGTAATTTACTGAGAATATCCAAAAAGGTTCAACTTGATTTAGAGAAGCCCACAACTACAAGATTTGAGGACTTTTGCTTCACAGTATGTATGGTACCAAAGGGATATTAGAAAAGGGATATTAGGTATTGAAAAATAATTCACACCGTTGATTAAAAAAAAAAAATCACAAAATTTAACAGTCTGTCTCTTCTCCTCCAAATATCAGCCTTTTATGTTTATTTTATTTATCTCTCATCTTCCTACAGCTTCCACCAGCATTTCTAGCACACACCGTCCAAATTTTCTTCACAGCAACAATTTTATGAGGGAGTCTGGGACAGCTGGACAGCTTGAGGAGGGTGAATTCTGTTTCCCATTTTTAATTTTGAGATATGACATGTTTTCTCCTTTTTTAACTTATCAGCCAGAAGAATGCTCACTTGGGACACCTCTGCTATTCCTTTCTGAAAACTGTGTAAAGGCCAAATAGATGCCTTTGCTTTGGTGTGAAGTTTCAAGACAGAGAAACTTAGTATTTAATAGAAGGCAATGTTTAACAAGATAATTTAAGAGTATTTATCATTTAAATGGTAATATTGAGGAGCTGGTATATTTCTCCTTCATGGCTGTAAGAAGGGTGAAATTTTGAGTTGGCCTAAGATTCTGTATAATTTCAAAATGATATTTCAAACTGCTAATTTTGTTAGCTGCGTAGTATCATCTCACAAAGATTGAGATGTCCTAGGACAAAGCAAAGCTCACATTTATGTGTTAATAACGGAGAACAATGGAGAACAAACTAAAAAGCAAGGCATATTATTTAAATCAGGGATATTTAGCCTCAGCAACTTTAAGACGTGTGGACTTCCACTCTGAGAATTCACCAGCCAGCATGGCTGGTTGGGAATTCTGGGAGTTGAAGTCCACACGTCTTAAAGTTACCAAGGTTGGAGACCCTGCTCTAAACTAAGAAATTAGAATATAGCGAATAGCTGTATGTTCTTGTACTTTATATGAAAACCTAACACTGGGTTGGCTTTGCTTCATATTCTTGCCTGTCTGCTGCCATCCATAAGGTCTCCTGGCTGAGCAGGCTCATTTCTCCGTTCCCTACAAATTCTGGATTCTGATGGAGTAGCCCTTACCCTTCCTAATATGGAATTGTTTGCTGACCAACAGCAAAGTCTTCTGGTCCCCCCCCCTTCATTTTTTTAAAGTCCTTGATAGGTCCTTGAACATCTAATAAACTTATGTTCCTGACCAAATTCCAGTTCCTTATCTTCTGTGGAATGTAAGCCTTGCATCTGGGCATTTCTGTATTATGTTTTATTGAAAAAAATAAGTGCATATGTGGGTATTTGCTTATGTTTTGGAAACAAAACCTGTCCAGTTCATCTAGCCAAGGGACCTACTTTATCCGTCCTCTGCTTGAAAGCTTATCTACTTCAATCTTGGTCTCAAGATAATTAACCACAAGAGAGAGAGAAAATATATATCCATCAGTAGTACCTGGGCAATGAAATAAGCCATCACCTAGGTTAGCTGGTTGAAATATTTTCCAATATGGCTGGCCAGTATTGTGTTTCTGCTAATTTACCATTATATTAAACCTGTATCATATACATATGGATTAGCATTTGCAATTTTTATGTAACTATCTTTTTCCCCCCTTGATGTTTGTCATTTCGGGCATAAGGTTCAAGTGAAAGCATGTTTATACACAGCAGTGAGCTCACTTTGTGTCTGAATAATCTGGCAGGAGCCTCCCACCTTATCAGTTTTGCTGGCTGAGGAATTCTGGGAGTTGAAGTCCACAAGTCTTAAAGTTGCCAAGGTTGGAGATCCCTGATTTGTGGGATTAACCTAAAGTCTAGCCCTGGGCTAGAATACACCCTTGAACAGAGAAGGTGAGTGGCCCAGGATTATCCAGCAGGCTTTGTGACTTTAAGGCAGGACTCAAACATGTAGTCTGGTGCCTTAACTGCTAGACCAGACTGGCTCTCCCAGTCCCAATGAACAGGGTAACAACATAAAGCTAAGACCATAGCATGCTAATCATATTTCAGAAACATTGCCAATAAAAACAGGAACACTGGTTTGGTGTAGCGGTAAAGACATCAAGCTAGAAACCAGGAGACTGAACTGTAGTCCCACTCCAGGCAACCTTGGGCCAACCACACACTCATAGCCCGGGTGAGAAGAAGGCAAGGGCAAACCACTTCCAAAAATCTTGCCAAGAGTATGGTTGGGACTAGTAGTCCAGGCAATTGCCAGGAATCAGCAGTGAAGTGGAGGCACTTAACAATCCAATTTGACAGAATGGCAGGGATTACTCACTCTCTCAAGGTCTGCACCAGTGTCAACCTTGAGAACCTTAAGAAATGTGAATTTAATGCTGGCTGGGGAATTCCAGGAGTTGAAGTGCACCTGTCTTAATGTTATCAAGGTTGAGAAACACTGGTCTGGACTGTTCCCCCTTACAAGAGCATGGGTGAGATTCTGCCGGTTCGAACGAAGCCCTGGCTCCAATGATCAGCTGGCTCCGAAACAGGTTCTCTCTGTCGATCATGTGTCCCTCCCCTGCCCCTGCGCTGTATATCTGCTCAGCTGAATCACGTGGCAGAGTGGATTGCCACACCTCAGCTGGGTTACTTCCCTGAAGTAACATTGAAGGTAAGTAGCTTTGAAAGCTGTGCAGGCGTGCAAAGCATGCGATTAGCGAACCAGTTGTTATGCCAGCAGCATCCCACCACTGTATAAAACGTTCGTGGTAATACGAAACTACTGGATATGTTGTGACGAGAAGTAATATAAGAGTTCCCTTTGGATCAGAGGTCCCCAAACTTGTCAACTTTAAGACTTGTGGACTTCAACTCCCAGAATTCTCCAGCCAGCCTAGCATATTTGGATGGATGGATGTGTCAACTACTGCCTTTTCGGCTGGCTCAGGAATTCTGGGAGCTGAGGTCCACAGGTTTGCAACCCCCGGTCTAGAGGACCAATACTTTCGTCTCATTCATTACACATGCACATTATATTAGGCATATAAAAGGGAGGGGGATGGGCCAAAGATTCACAAAATACATTAGAGGTAGTCCTCAATCTACAACCATTCATTTATTGATCATCCAAAATAAAACGGCATTGAAAAAAGGGACTCTTGACTGTTATTCACACTTACAACTGTTGCAGCATCCCCATGGTTGTGTGGTTAAAAAATAGGATGCTTGACAACTGGTTCATATTTATGACTTGCAGTGTCCCAAGATCATATGATTCCCCTTTTGCAGCCTTCTGAGTAGCAGAGTCCGTGGGGAAGCCAGGTTCATTTTGTCATGTTACTGACTTAATAACTGCAGCGATTCACTTAACAACTATGGCAGGCAAGGTTGTATAATAGGGGAAAACTCACTTCACAAACATCTCGCTTAGCAACAGAAATTTTGAGCTTGAAATTGTGGTCATAAGTCAAGGCGTACCTGCACTTGTCTGTGCAATGGACAGCAATGGACAGCAATGGACAAGCATAACTGAATGTTTATCAATTGAAACCAAATTGGCAACAGTTCAAAGTTACAATGGCTCTGAAAAACAGCTTACAACTGGCTCTTGCACTTAGAATCAACATAGCATTCACCCTGGACACATGATCAAAATTCTTGTGCTTGGCAACTGGCATGTACTTACAACAATTTTGGTGATCAACGTGTAACAATGGGAACAACTGGCTTCCAACAAGCGAAGTCAATAGGGGAAGCTGAATTCACTTAATGGTGGCATAAGTAACCACTGCTGTGACTCATTTAACAACTGAAAAAAACATTATAAAATTGGGTGCAATTCACTTAAGAGCCACCTTGCAACATAAATACTGGTCTCAATTGTGCTCATAAATTGAAGATACCGGTATCAGAATTCCTGGCCTGAAAGTGCATTGCTGAGAATTTTAACTCCAACATATCATATTTTCCAGGTTGGGAAAGATCTGCCAAACATCCACAATTGGCAGTAGCTGAAGCATTTAATTCATAACAATTACATCAACAATTTTGGAATAAATGTCTCTTTGGAACATTTTCACTGGAGAATAGCTGCTTTAAGATCTGCAGCAGTGTTTATGATTGGTAAAAGTTGCTGTCTGGCTGGTACAGTAAGGAGGGGAGAATTTGCCATCTCTGGTTTGACATCAACTATATCAAAAATTGAATGCAGCGCTATCTATGCACAACAAATGTGCTGTTCCATTCCTCTGTTTTCTGTCTGGAACAAAAATAAATAATGCAAAAGCTGTTAAAAGGCTATTGAAGACACAATGGGAGAGAAATCCAAGGTAGTGACTGTGACAGCACAATTACATCCATGTTCCTTTTTTACATGGCATGGATGCATGGCTTTGATAGTGCAGATATAGCCGCCATCTTGATTTTATGACTTCCTGCATGAACCCTACATGTTAGGATTGTAGGAAAGTTAGGAACACTTCATATAGGTTTTAAAGGAGAAAATAAGCGTGATTTTTCAATCATTTTAGTTGCTTCAGGCAATATAACTCTGTACATGCAACAAAATATAAGTGGGTTCATACAATCCACAAAGCTGAAACGTGATCAACTGGTTTGTGACCTAATGGTTTTCCCACCAGTAAATCATGATTAAGCTAATCTTGGCTTGGTGTGTTCTGATGTATTGATGTGGTTTGAAGCTTCCCCCCATAGCAACAGTAACTATGGCAGCCACAAATGGTGTGTGCCTTATCTCACGGCTGGACCAAACTTCACCTTGGTTACAAGCATAATCTCTCAGGAAGTTTACAGCATATACACATTAGAAAATACAAGCTACTGAAAGGCAGAAGAAAGAATCTCCAGTGTTTTTACAGTTTCCTATCCATCATGGTGCTCTAGTTACAAAGAGGTTCTTCTAGCATGCTAAGTTGTTGCGCACTTTGGTTTCCACCATTTGCTGTGTGAACTCAATTACTATAGTTTGTAAATCATGATTTTGGACTTAGTATGTGTGAAGCTGAACTATTTGTAGCTTAATCAGTAAACTGCAACTCAGTAAAACCAAGTCAGTACTCAAAAGTAATTCTGTAATACTTCTGACTCTCTCAAAACTAAATCACAATTCCATTTCTCTGTGTGTGCCTTCAAGACAACTTTTTGACTCCTGATGACTGCCTAGACAAGTTTCTACAGTTTTATTGGCAACATTTCAGAGGTGGTTTGTCCTTGCCTGCTTCCTAGGACTGAGAAAGAGTGACTGGTCCAAGGTCATCCAGGTAGCTTCATGGCTAAGGTGGGTCTACAGCTCAGTCTAGCCTGGTATTTGCAGCATATTTATCACCTCTCGCCTTGTCTTCTATTCTGAGAGATAAGCTGTGCAGGCTATTTTAGGTAATCTCCTATCTTGATTTCAGCAAGGCAGCAAGAGCCAGTTTGTCCCGGTGGTGTTAAGGTGTCCTAGAAACCAGGAGGCGACAAGTTCTAGTTCTGCCTTAGGCATGAAAAACCGACTGAGTGACTTTGAGCCAATCGCTCTCTCTCAGCCCAATTCACTGCACTGGATTGTTTTTCTTAGGAAAATAAGAACTATCTATGTTTGCTGACTTGTATTTGAAAAAATCTAAAAGGAAAATGTTCTTCACAAACATTCCATGGTTTGTCATAAGATTATTTTCTTCTTTGTTACATATATCCATAACTTTAGTCCTTAATGTATCAAAATGCCAAAGATTTGCTACTGCAAGTATTCCTTGAGTCACTGCCCATCATGATGATAACTTCCGGCAGTCATAAAATGGACCAATCATGTGATCTTTTATGTGGTAGTTAAGTGACTCACCAGAGTTGTTAACCAAAACCATGGTTATTGAGTGAACACCAAAGTCAATAAGCGCACCAATAGCTTGCCTGTGGGTGGGGTTTTGCCAAAAACTGGAAATCTATGTGGGTTTTCAGCAAAACCATCATAAAACATTGTCATATGATGGCAGGATGCTGCAAATGCAAAAACTAGAAAAAGTGCAGAGAAGAGCAACCAGGATGATTAAGGGACTGAAAACTAAAACATATGAAGAATGATTGCAGGAACTGGGCCTGGCTAGTCTAGTGAAGAGTAGGGCC